ACTTAGATTTGCAGTATAGAGCGAATCACCGACCGCTCTTCATTACTGTAGGATTACGGTAGAAACTTGAAAGAGGGTTTTGGGCCATGAAAGGCCACATTTTGCCTCAGAAAGGAATCGGAACAGCCTGAAAACTTTTACACTAGGCCAATTAGAGTTGCTGATTCTAACAGTAAGATTCCCAACTTATTTTGATGCTTCACTGGAGAGTTATGCAAGGTAAGCAGTAGCGGCCATTTTCTCAATGTTCCTAAAAAGTGCGATTACACCGTTTAGAAAGCTTCGCAATCTTGAGCATAGTTGAGTATTGAAGTCAGCTTCCCTAAAAACCCTATTACACAAGTTTTCACATCTTTTTGAAAATTTTTAAAACGGCAGCTTTTTCCACAGTGACACCATGTGTTCCAAGTTTCTACCGTAATCCTACAGTAATGAAGGGCGGTCGGTGATTCATCCTATACTGCGTTGAAGCCAGCTCTAAGTTGAAGCCAGCTCTACAAAATGGCGCTTACCGCTTCTCGAAAGACCTCATAATAAGAGAGTTATTCAAAATCAAACAGTGTGCACATTATTTTGGGACACCCTGCATAGTACATGCCACTAGCAGTAAAACCTACATTTTTAGCCTTCTAGAAGAACTTTTTCACGAAAAATATCGAATCTAGCTTTCCTTATCCGAATTTTACTTGCCTAGTTGCTTGGAATTCGAAACTTCTCGTGAAGCAGCCGCTGTAAAAAGCTGAAAATTCACACTTATGCTTCTAAGGTTTTGTAATACACAAGCGTTAGTGCTAGAACATCGCAGCACTAATTTGGCAAAAACATGAAAACTTCATTTTCTCATTTTCTAGGTAAGAGAAAAAAACAGCAACTGCATAGAGAAATGTCTTATACGAAATGACAATGGATGAGCAAGTTAGAAATTTTGAAGGATTTTTCTGAACAGACTTCCAGTTGTTTCTTGGTTTTTTGGGGTGCTTGGATATTTTCGTTTTTGGCTCCAATCTTCGCTTGGATCAAAGCTGCTGCAAAACTTCGAGCACTTTCATGTAGAGCTAGATTTGCTTATCTAATGGTGTATCGAGTCCTACTTGAGATATAGGATTATTCCGGATTGCGGTCTGTACCTATTTTGGTACAACTGTCGGTGCTAGAACATCTCAGCACTGTTTTGGGAAAAAGCATGGAAATAGCTGAAAGAAAAATTGCAACTGCATGAAATGTCTTATACGAAATGCCAAAAGTTTTTTTAACCAAGAATTTTTGAAGGAATTTTTTGAACGGACTTTCAATTTTTTCTTGGTTTCTTGAGGAACTAAGACTTTTTCGTTTTTGGCTTCAATATTCGCTTGAATGAAAGCCTCTGGAAAACACTAAGCACTATGTTGTTGAACTAGCCTTGCTCTATCGAATGTTATTTTAGGATTTATCTGGGATATAGAAGAAGCATGTATTATTGCTGTACCTATTTTGATTCACGAATTATGCATCAACCTAATACTTATGGTTAGATTCGTCAGAGAACTGATATACAGGGTGTCCCAAAGTATGTATACACTATTGACATTGATATCTCTTTTCGCAAGAAGTCTTTTGCCCACCTTCGGGTACAGTTTTGTAGAGCTAGCTCCAACTTATTAGATTGTCCCATAAGTCTTTTCATTTCTGAGCTTTCGCTATAATAAGTCATACACTTCTTATTCTATTTAGACATCAGGATAACATTCGATAGAGCAAAGCAAGCTCTATAAGATGGCGTTTAAGCTTTTGCACAAGCTTTGGTCCATCTCGACTTTTTTAAACCAAAATCTATGAACTTTCGGATGCCCAGAAAACCGAAGATTTTTCATATCTTCGTTCAAAAAATCCTACAGACCTCTAACTCGCTCACGCATATACATTCCACGTCAGACAATCATCTGTGCAGTTGCTGTATTTTTTTATAGGCTAGAAATCAAGAAACCAAAAATTTCCATGTTTTTACCAAAGTGATGCTGTGCTGTTCTTACACTAACAGCTGTATACTAGATGTCCTTAGAAGTACTACCGTAGGTTTTTGGCTCTCTGTATGCTCTGGTATACGAGAAATATCAAATTTAGCTTTCTTCACTCGAGTTTTTCACGCTCAAATCAACATTTCTCGGAAACCAAAGCTTATAGAGAGCTAAAAATTTACGGTTATACTTCTAAGGGCTTGTAGTATACAACTGTTGGTGTAAAAACAGCACAGCATCACTTTGGTAGAAGCATGGAATTTTTCGGTTTCTTGATTTCTAGCTGATAAAAAAATGCAGCAACAGCACATATGAATGTCTGATGTTTAGTCGAAGCGGTCTTTTTATATGGGATGCATACCATATCAAAAAGCATGAAATGCTGATTCCAAATCTGCAGAACATTTAGACGAGGAATTATGAGGGCGAGATATGACTCGTCCCCTCTCAGATCCCTCTCCTCCCCAACGGGGATGTAGGTGTATACGGGTAAGAATAGCTTTAGCAATTAGTTAACAACTCTCCTACCACAAACATAAAGTGTTCTCAAAATCTTTGCACAAGACGATTACTATTTTTTCAACATGACCTTTATATTAGGTTGTCCCAAAAATAGACCACATTTTCAAATAAATTAAGCTGTTTTTGTTTTCGTAACAGATTTAGGGTACCATTCGATGAGCCGAATCAAACTCTACAAAGAAACCACCTTGGATCCACCTAAGTCGTAATCTGAGCAACATTTAAGGCCAAAATCAAATTTCTCAGTTACACTAAAAATCGTCCTTTATGAAACTTCCTACGGACTTCCAACTTGTTCTTTATATAATAGACGCATAGTAGTTACCAAAAACTTTGGTGGATTTTTGCCGAAGTTCAGAATTGAAAAATAAAGGTGGTCCATGTCAAAATGCCCTTTTTGGGTTTTTCATGTAAAACTTGGTATTTCTCGATCATAAGAGCACGCACAGGGTTAAAATTTTGAAATAATAAGTAAGGCTTGTACCCTATTTTCGCATGCACCCTTTTCGCAACGCGAGGCATGTGCGCGGCGGCCTGGGTCTGCTCGCGTTTAGAGCAAAAAGGGTGCGGCTTATACACCTGAAAATAGGGTAGTATACAATGACTTATGTGGGAGTGGCTGGGGACGAAGTTTGCATGTTTGAAGGCAGCGTCCACCCAGAATTCGGCCCCCCATGTTTTCGTCATTCTGGGACCTTTCCGTGGCCCTGATTACAGTTTCGAACTTCGAAGTGTCCAAAATCCACAAAAAACCCGATTTCTGGGGACGTTGAAGACATGGACGAGTTTCGAATCGCTCGTCCTCGTCGGCATGCCAGCGGATGGAGCTGCAACTGCATGGGTGCAGGTGCACCAGTGTGCAGCTTCTGCTTACTGCCATGTCACTACGTGTCGAGAGGCAGATCCTGGCTGGGCGGAGTCTGATATCAGATTACGCTCAGCCAGGGACATCCAGGCCCCTTATCTCCATTCAAAGACAACGTTAGAAGACCGGACCAACGCAGATGAACTTTTTCTGGGGGCCTACATTCAGGATCGACACTAATCGAAGAGGGCTAGGTTTAGCCTGGACAATGCCTTTGAGCTATCTTTAATATCTCGTCTTTTATGCGCGAAAAAAACCAGTAAAGTATAATTGAGTACTACTACTCAGATAATCCATGCGGCGGCGCGGGCGCCCATGTCCTCGCCGGCCGTCAAATAGCGCGCGCCGCGCGGTATGAAAAAGCCATTCGCATTTGAAGCACTGCAAATCACGGTGAATATGTAGTAGACCTGATGACAACCCTTTATCTTCAGGCAAAAAAATCAAAGTTTAATTTTGAATTCCAAGTATGAACTCAAAGTTTTCAAACTTTAAATTTGAAAATTTAAATTTCGAAAATTCAGGAACTCAATTTTGCAAAATTTAATACAATTTCGGCACCTACTCGGAATGCTTTTGAAGACTGAATCTCAGAGGAAGAACACCGCTTCTGTTAAAAAATTCTACGGAAGCAGCGATAACCTCATCCAATTACCGATGAAGCACCCAAAACACTGTGCCGTACTTCACGCGGGTATTGCTTGTGCCTGCAGCGTGTGAGAATGCGGAAGACATTATGGCACGCCGCTCACTGATAAGCTGCACGCCGCTGCAGTCTCAACTAGGGCGCGCCGCTCGTACTTCAGCGCTGTTATGGCGCACGCGCGCCGCACAGTGCGTCCGAGTAGGTGCGCCGCCGGCCGTTATAAGGCGCGGCGCTCGCACTGCAGCCTCAACTATGACGAGCCGCTCGCACTGCAGCTTCAACCAAAGCGCGCTCGCAAGGCAGCCTCAAATAGGGCGCGCCGCTCGCACTGTAGCGCTATTATGCGCAGGCGCGGCCGCAACGGTGTCTGAGCATGGTTACTGTAATGACCAAATTGGAGGTTCGTAGCGTTTTTTCTCGCAAAAATATTTCCAAGTAAAAATTTTTTTTCGATTTTGGCTCTAAATTTCACATGAAAGGCGACTTAGGCAAACCCTTGGTGGTCGTTTCGTAGAGCTTGATCCGCTCTATCGAAAGATATGCTAAGTCTACTAGGAAAGCAAGAACTGTTGAATTATTCAAGAAGAATTTATCTTTGGTATGGCCTAATAGAGAACGTTTCATCCCATTTAGCAATAAAATTTGTTCTCGCAAGCCAAGTAAAAGTTTCTAATGTCGATTTGCTATCCACTAAAAGCTGGGCTCAAATCTCAAGAATCATAATTGTTCAAATAGCCTCGTCGTAAACGTACCTCTCATGGTCGTCGACATTGTTGTCGTTGACAACAATTGAGAACACATATATTATAACTGCTCATGGTGGCAGCGTGGAAGTTCTTGATGGCTGACTGTCTAACTGTCTATTCATTGATAACGTGCTTGAAAAATAGAAAGTTCGATTTTAATGTACTTGGAGCTCCTTGAGCTACAGTACATTGTGATTCACACAAACATAATCACAGACAATTTTATTGCTCACTCTGTTACAAAACAAATGTTAATCTTCAAAGCCATGAAAGTCGGCTTTTTGTTGTTTAGCGGAGGGATTCTAGCTCCGATTGGGCCAATTCGGAAACTTTTTTTGAGTATCTTTCTATCCAATGGATTCTATGCTCCACCTGCTCCAATCCTATATGTATGGCGTTGTGATCGCAACCGTTGCAGCCGCTTTTTTGAAGGGCTTTGATCTAAAATAATACTAATCTTGGACATAAGTCACAAAAAGGTGTGAAAAAGGTAGCAGAAATATGACCTTTTTCCATATCCCAAAGTTTTTTTTGAAAAATGTGTATCTGATCAACAAGGATCAATTTATGTGTCCTTTTTTTTTTTGAAAGAGCGTTACTACTTTTGACAAAACCAACAAGTTAGTTGCAGTCCCTTTCATTTAGGATGGAAAGAGTGAAGGGCATTTTTTAACAAAGCTTGAATGCTCACTTAACTTCAACCCTTTTTTGTTCTCGTTGAAAATAGTGAATAAGTCTATGCATTGCTTGGGAATTTTCGAAGCTTGTTTGCTTGAGGAAATTTCGACATTTGTCTGCTGTTTCCTCAGCGCTGGTCATCTCATCGGTTTGCCGTACATTTCTAGAGAACTTTCTTATTCTCAGTGTTGGGGAGTAAGGTAAGTATGTATTGTATTTGATTGTATCTTATATATAAAACTGAATTTATGTTGTCTGTCTGTCTGTGTGTACGTATGTTCCGAATAGAAAATTCCATTTCTGAATCGATCGGGACCTAGCTTTGCGCACATACCGTTCCCTGGCGGGTGTCGTAGGCTACTTTTCGTTATCGATCGATATCAATTTTATCCATTTTTTGCAATGTTTAAGCTACGGGGCTGGGAGTTGGAACAGGGGGGTAGGTGAGCATGCTGATTACGAATACACCATCACTTTTTTAGAATTATCCGTCACCCTTATCGATTTCATCGATTTTTTGCAAAATTTGAGTCACGGCCTGGGAGTTCGCACAGGGGGGGGGAGGGGGTAAGTGAGCACGCTGAATGCGAATGAAATAACTGTTTGTAAAAATATCCATCCTTTCTATCGATTTTAACGCTTTCTTGCAAACTTGGAGCTACGGGGCTGGGAGTTGGCACGGGGAAGGGGGTGGGGGAGTGAGTACGATGATCGCAAATGTAGCCTTTGCAAATATACGTTACTTCCATCAAACAGTGCGAATCACAGCTAAAGTAATCACTACTTCTCTTCTTCAAAACCTTCGTTATTATATTGCTTTTTTCTTTATCTGCGGCTCAAAAAGTAAGTGAATAAGCGAGCGTGCTGATTACGAAAAAAACCTCCGTAAGCCCCGGTCAGACTTCACGCGACTTAATCGTCGCGACCAAGTCGCCAAGATTTCCATTCATTTTCATTTCACATTCAAAAATTTCGGTCTGGAAAAGTGTCACAACCGAATGCAAGTTAATCTGCATGGAATGATGTTGTAACAGTTGTCTCCTCGCGATTCAGTCGCGACGATCAATTCGCGTGAAGTCTGCCCGAGGCCTAACACGTTTCGGACCGCGAAATCGCGCGCGGCGAAAAAGAGGGTACTTTCAGTCGTTAGCCAACAAAGGGACTTTAATTCGCAGACTGTGTGCTACATCTGTAAACACCATGTTCAGATAAGGTCCATACCCAAAGTTCTGAGTGAATTGGAAGTGTTTGAATTTTGTCGCCTGAAAAGGACTTCTGTGCTTTCCTGAAAGATAGGAACAAGTACTCAGTTTCTAACAGTATTCAAAAGTACCCATGTTGTACACGATACACATCATTATTGGAACTACGGTTTTTCTCTTTGGCTTCGAAGCAAAGAATAGTTGCGTCGTCGCACGCGTCGTTCGCGTTGCCGCACTTCGTTGCAACTGCTGTTCGAATTGTCCTTATATTTTCTAAACAAATACCGTCGGCACAGCTCTACGAGTCATTTAAAAAGGAGAAGCTTAGGCCTTTGATTTGATAACCTTGGACAAAAAAAAACCTCCTGCAAACACTAAAAAGATCCTTGAAAGGCGCGTGCTGCACCATGTGCAGCACCGGTCCGAAACGTGTTAAAATAGTTTTTGAATGCAAATTTCATGCTCGAACGTGCTGGTGAAGAAGGAGAAGATTACCGGACATGTCTACGGAATATGAGTTAACTATGGTTGAAACAATTAGGTTGATGCAAAAGCTGTGTCGCATTATTTTGGGAAACTACAACTTTTCTATCTTAACAAATTTGCACAATCTTAATTTTGCTAGATAGAGGAAGCCCTTCTCTCTGCGATAGCACCTTCATTGCTTTTTTATAAGGGTTAGTTTTTGCAATGGAAGCACGAGAACGAAATTACTCCAACCACGGCCATTCTGTAGGATGCTAAAAATCTAAAAATTTGCAGAATCTCTAGTAAGCAGTTTAGTAATATTTTAATCCGCAGTTTCCAAGAGTGCAAAGCTCGTGTCTAATGGACGTTTCTGTGAAGAGTTATGGATTTGGAAATGCAAGACAAAAAAGCAAATTTGATTTCTGACGAGGGAGAGTTCCCAAGCCAGCTCGGCCAACCCGGATGAGTCATATAACACCGTAACGGGCTTGAAACGCTGATTCCAAATCTGCTTTCCTTTTCTGCGGAGCGATTTTCCGAGAGAAGTTAGGAGCGTTTAAAAATCCAAATTTGTCATGATTCAAGTGGCTTAAAATTGGCGAAACCTGCACAATAACACATTTAACTGATTTATCAGATTTGTATCAAGTATAATGATTACAAGGACGGAACACAGATAATGAAATTTCGTTAGGTGTTGTTTTACAGTTTTCAAGTGATTTTAAGCCACTTTGAACATGATAAATTTAGACATTTAAACGCTCATAACTTCTTTCGGAAAGTCGCCCCGCAGAAAAGGAAAGCAGATTTGGAATCAGCGTTTCAAGCCCGTTACGCTGATGTATGACTCATCCGGGTTGGCCGAGCAGACTTGGAAACTTTCCCTTGTTAGCTTTTTTCGAAAATCATAGCTCTTCACAGACAACGCTCATTTGACACAGACTTCGCACTTTTAGAAACTGTGGATTAGAAGAGAAACCATACTGCTTGGAATCTTACCGCAAATTTCAGATTTTTAATAGCCTAACCCAGAATAACCGGAGTTAAAGTAATTTATTCTTCTACTTTCATCTTAAAAGCTATCCCTTATCGAAGAGCAGCACAGACACTATCACAACGGGAAGGACTTCCTCTATCTAGCGAAATTAACATTGTGCAAATCTGTATAGACAAAAATGATGTGACAGAACTTTTGCATCGACCTGATATTTTAAAAGAACTGTTTTATTTTGAACGCTTTTATAACTCAAGTTCTAATAAAGGTAGAGTGCTCGAATACTACATCACATTTTCTATGCGGGCAAAGATACTATAAAAATTGCAGGAAAAATGCGTCGTTTCAGAGATTTTTTAACATTCCTGCGAGAAAACTACGATGGCGTCTCAAAATAAGAAAGGCAAAACATATGTTATTGTCACCATTGTATTGGTCATTCGAAGTTGGTATATACGTATTTTTGGCACGAGGTCCCAGGATGCCTCTAGAACGAAATAAAGGCATTTTTGATTTTTTCGTAAAATCTGCGGTTTCAAAGTGTTGATATATTAACATATTTTCCGCAGAGCACTTTCGCTTTTTGACGCATGGTTTTTTCACGCTTGCGACATCAGAATATGCAGGTGCGCCTTAGCTTACCAAAGATTTACTGCTTCTGATGACCTTAATTGCAGTAAAAAATGAAGACTGTACAAAGACATAGCTTTTAAGATGAAATGCAAAAGGGACAATATTTTTGCACCAACTAATATAATAAATGCAAATTACGTTTTCCTTAATGTTTAGAGAATGCAGCAAGCCTACGATCATTGTGGTAGCTACGCACAAAATCTTGTTGTGATAACTTCAGCAGCATATCTTACAAGTAGAGGATCTTTTTGTGTATGTTCTTTACTTGTAAATTCTGCTTGTAAGAATGTAAACTGCATCTGATACGGGAGAGTATGGAAAAGAATAGATAGAATAGTAGAAAGACCTATGTTTGAAACCATAGGAAGGCGGTTATAATTTCTACAAACGTCGTCATGTGAGATTAAAAATGCCTTCACATAATTCCATTGACTCACATAGACGTACACATAAACAACAAAAGATTTTTTTCAAAGCAAGGTTTCTTTTATACTAAGTCGAAATGCACGTCAAAGCCAAATTAATTTTGGTGCTTCCTTTGATTTTTCAAGCCCGCATCTCATTTCCTCTACCTTGAGACGTTGTCTCGATTGTTCCGCTCATCATTCTGAGCAATAGTCGTCCAAGCTGGAAAGAAATCGCTGCGATAACACAGAGAGAACAATGTAAGAAAAACGCATTTTTTATGAATTTTCACAGAAAATCCCGCCATTTCACAGAAAAAGTAAGCGCTGGGCCGTTGCCAACATTATGAACAAAAACACTATAGAATGCACGAAAAAAAGAGCGTGAAAAGAGTGAAACTAGAAGAAAAACAAGAGATTTTCGAAAACACGGTTTTTGCCGGATTTATCGTTCATCAGAAAATATGGTTTCAAGACGTTGACTGCATGAAAGTAAAGATCAAGCGCTTCAATATGATACACGACTTGCTAGAATTAGGTTTAGAATAACGAAGAAGGTACCAAAGCCAAATGCTCCGTGCCCCGCGTTTAGGGTAGCGAGGTAGTGCGCAACGCGAGGAGTCCGAAACCACATTTTCTGATTTGAACGAGATATCCAGCAAAAACCGTGTTTTCGAAAATCTCTTGTTTTTCTTCCAGTTTAATCTTTTCACGCGTTTTTTCATGCGTTTTATAGATATTGCTTCTGTTCATAATGTAGACAACGACACAGCACTTACTTCTTCAATTATGGTGGAATTTTTTGTGAAAATTGATAAAAAGTGCGTTTTTCTTTACATTGTTCTCCTCTCAATGTTTTCGCAGCGATTTCTTTCCAGATTGAGCAACTATTGCTCAGAATGATGAGCGCAACAGTCGAGACAACGTCTCAAGGTAGAGAAAATGTGGAAATGCGGTGTTAAAAATTCAAAGGATCATCAAAAACTAATTTGGCTGTAACGTGCATTTTGACTTAGTATAAAACAAAGCTTGCTCTAATTAATTGCTTCCTTGTTTATTTTCTTTTGATAATCACCACTTTTGAAAAATGGTTATTTTTGAAACAGTTACAAAGAAGAAGTTAGCTTTTCTTTGTTTTTCCCGTGTTTTGAATTGTCTGATCCTGGAGCGAAAACCTGCACTTCGAACGACGCTAAATGAAACATTTCAAACTCATTGCAGCGTTTTTATCCGCTTTTCAGGAGCTTTTTTTGCTTTTGCAGTCTGTTTTTTGTTCTTATCTGTCTATCTGCTTTTTGTATTGCTATGCGTATCTTTTTTTTCTTCCCTGAAGAACCTTCTCTTCTGACGCCCTGTCTCTAGGCTATCGAACGATGACGATAACTCAACATTTGCCATGAACATAGACTGAATAAACGATACCACTTCTTCTACGAGTGACGATCTCGAAAGAATTTCTACTGTGAAGAGAAGAAGGTTTAGCGGTTTCAATGATGTAAAACGCCCAAATGCATCTATGCCGTAAAGGTTAGTTAATGGGGTATGGAGCAGTCTCAAAAAATGTGTGGCAGCCACATTTCTTTTGGGTGCCACACGCCTTTAACTTACTTTCAAACAACTTCCAGTGGGCATTATGCGTAATTCATATGAATAGTTTCAAATGTAATTTATGTCCGATTCCTCTTCCTTCTAATAAAGCACAAAAATTAGGAGTGAAAAATGAGAAATAGAGATTTTGGCTTTCTCCTCCCTTAGCTTGATCATAACGAAATACGAATTAGTGTTTTGTATTGTGTGCAAACAAAGTCAATCATGTTTGAAATAATCATTTCACTTCGGTGTCCAATATTTGGAAACCACAGAAATCACTAACTTGGTCCACATGGGTTGCTTGATATACCAATTGCGAATGTGTTATTATGCTTGGTACGGTCTCTTATGCCTAACGATAGGTAGACGATTATGCCGGTGGAGGGGGGAGGCCTGTTGAAACACTCAGCGGGGAAAGGATCGTCTCTAGCGGTCGTGTGCCCACCTTTTGCTCGGACCTGGTTATTAGGACCCATCTGTCTTGTTTTTTATACAAAAACACCAGGAATTGATTTGAGCTATCTTGCTCGGCAGACAATCCCGCCTACACCAAACCAGCCATTGCAACTCCTCCTTCGAATCCTATATCCAAGGCAATCCTTCCCTCCTTGAGCGAAAGCCTTCTCAACTCTTTTGAGAGAATCGCTTTGCAATGGATTTGTGATCAACATTTCAGACGAGTATCTTATTCACATTTGATGTCAAAAGGCCTAGGTCATCAAAAGTACCTTCTCTTTGTGTTTGTTGACTGAAAAGCATCTGTGACTCTCGAAGTCGGGTGGTGCTTTTACGTTATATTTTATTTGGTGAACACTTCGACCGAACGTTTATTTGGGACATCTGAATGTAGTATTTGTCTCGTATTTCCGTTCTGGGACCGTCAAATCTAAAAAATTTCACCTAGAAGTCCGCGCTTGAGCTATAGGAGTGAAGAATGTTGCCCAGACTTTCGCAGCAAAAGAAATTTTTGCAGTCAAATCTGCTGGAATTTTGAACTCCCTGTCATTGTAATTGCATAGTCTGCATTTTGTAAATAAGAAGCTATGTAAGATGACAAACTGACCAACAGCACTTCTCCATGGGAACGTACTTTGGAAAAGCACGATTTGACAATCCAGGTTATTGAATCCGTTACCCTAAACACGATTTCCATATCTGCAAAATTTCACAAGAATTTGTAAAACACGTGAAAAGGTGATGCGCAGAACTGGCTGAGCTTTTGAAATTCGAGATCAAATTAATGTACTTTATGGACCATCATCTTTATCATAATCACCTTTATGAAACGGCCCCATTTAAATCTGCAGCGTGCAGCTTTTATCACCGAGTCACGCTCGCCGTCGTGCAATGGCGTCTTGGTTGATCTCAAGTTCTTCAATATGTGCTGTCGTTAATCGATTGGTGGCAGATCGAAGGTGTTGCAGCTTAAACTCTATGGGCTCTTTTCTTTCGCTTTCTTTTCTTACGTCAGTCACCAAATGATGCTGAGATCCCAGATATTTAAGATCCAAGCTCGGATGGAATTCCCACAGTCGCTTCTCGGGCTTTGAGATGATGTTAATTTCAATTCACTTCGGAGCTATGACCTTGACAGTACAGTTAGAACCGAATATTTGTGTTCGAATAATTTATTCGAAATATTCGACTATTCGAATATTCTAATAGTCAAATATTTGCGAAAATCCAGTTATTCGATTGTTCGAATGGTCGAATAAATGAAGAAGGCCTGTATTCGAATAATTCGTTCATTCGACAATCTGAGAAAATGAGTTATTTGAATATTCGTTGATTCGAAGATTTTTAAAAGAAAATTATTCGAATATTCGAATATTGAGCCAACTTTGAAGACAGCTATTCGATTATTTGAGTACTGAATATCATTCATTCGAACATTCGATGTTAAAAGAAAACTTTAGCTGCTCTACATTAGTGCAAGTATGTCCCTGATCGTCAAACGTACAAATGAATGATCATATGACAGAATGTCTAGCAAGGTGGCCTTTTTAAGGCAATTGCGAGTAATGCCAGAGAATAGTGATGAGATTAGAGCAAGGCGGTTGCGAGGGTTTGAGCCGCTTGAGTGGCGGCAGTCTGTATGTCAGTCACCATAATCACAAGGGAATGGTCAGAAGTCGAAATGGCCAAACCAAACAAGCTGTATACGATTTAATGCAGCATAAAACGCTGACTTCGAATCTTGTTTCTTATCTGCTTACCGCTTCTGTGGATGAAGCTACAAGCAGTTTTATTGCGAAAGTTGTAGATAAAATTGCGAAATTGAGCATATTGTTGCACTTTCAGCTTAGCTTTAGGCTTCAAGGATTTGAAGTTACCTAGTTGCGTGGGCCCAGCATTGAGCCGAACAGCTTCGTACGGACAAACTTTCACTTTCACGCATAATTTCTTAGCAATATAGTGGCCTTAGATGGCTTACAGCTTCGTTCAAAAACGACAAGCAGATATGGAAGACAAATTAGAATCAGCGCTTCATGCTGCATTTAATGGTTTGCAGCCTGTTCGGATTGACCACTTCGAATGACCATTTCCTTGTCAGATCGGCGCCTTTACGTCCAGGAGGCGTAAAAAACTAGAGTTAAAATGTTGCAGAGTTCATGGCGGAATAATTCTTTGAGTAGCGGTATAGGTTGAACATATCATTTTGAACCTAAATAAAAGATGTGGAGGATCCCTTGCAACAAAAGTGCAAACCTTAAATTACAGCTGAAGCAACTTTGTGAGAATTCAATCCTACAACAGAAACTGTGAAACTCAGCGATTGATAATTTCCGACAAGTATTAGATTAGCACATAATATACAGATACTTCCTTGACTTTTTTTCTGGTAGACGTATATTATGTAGACAACAGTGTGTCAACTCTGCTGCAGAGGTTTACTGATTCTATAACTGTAGCCCTTTGTGCTCTCTCAGTGCTGGCCTTAGAACTCACTCAGTGCTGACCGTCACGAATAAATTCAGTTACCTATTCCAAAAGGTTTTCCATCTTGAATCTGTAGCTTTGGGAGAAGGTTCTGTGTAGCTTCGGAGAAAATTTTGTGAGAAGAGATAAAGACGGACTTGAAACGCTACTAAGTAAAGCTTATTAGCCCTCTCAAAGAACAATGAACACCTTGAAATACATGCTTGGTTAAAATTCTTCTGTTTTTTTTAGGTAGAATCATGACCGAACGACAACCCAGTCATCCTTACCACTTGCTACGCGTCAGCTATAAATCAACAGCTATAAATCTAGATCATATATAGCGACTATTTTTTGCAGAAAACAGCAACAAAGTGAAAACCAGAAATATCTGATCCACTAGAAAACTTGAATTATTCGAGTAATCGAATATTCGGACAGGTATGATTATTCGAATACTCGAATAGTCGAAGATTCGACCAACCCCATTTATTCGAATATTCGTTCATTCGAGTTTTGAAATGTAGCATTATTCAAATATTCGAATTCGAATAATCTGAAAATCACAGATCGAACAATATTCGTTCGTTCGAATATTTTTCAAAAACTGATTATTCGATATTCGTTTGTTCGACGAAATTTTTCTGTCGTTTCAACTATACTTGACAGCTCCCATAATTTGGGCAAATGAGTTTAGATACATTTACCTCAAACAGTTATTCTGATTTTGGAAAAGTTGATGAGCATTCATTGTTACAGCGCTCAGATTTTTACAACCCTGATCCTCACTTCTGTTTCTTCGTTTGCGCCTACAACTTACCAAAGCTAAATTGGAGAATGGAACTCATATGAAAAAGTAAGATAGACAGCTTGGCATGCGAAAAGTTCTTCTTGCTAGAGATGACTGCATCAATGAACGATTTTTTACGGAAAGAAGAGATTACATGTCTACCGCTCTTGCGCACATCGTGAGCTTCTCCGCCTGTAATGTAGTAAATGCGCAAAAATGTTCTGGAGAGAGATGCATGTCAGTTACGGACTGGCCATACTATTCCTGTGAAACCTGCAACTTCTGCGATTCTTGTGATTGCTGCGGGTCCCGTAACAATGTATATTGCGAAAAAACAATGTATACTGAAATTCGCAAAGCGCTCCATAGTGCGGCATATCGGAAGTCGAGGAATCACAAGAATTGCAAGAATTACAGGAGTGGCAGGAATCACCTCCTGGAGAAGTATAGCTCGACCCTTACTTATAAAGTTTGAATTTTTGATAAATTTGGTCTCCTGAGTCTTCCACTATACAGTGATCGCCAAGAAGTTGCGGACAAGCCGCCTTCCTCTTTTCACCTCTCATTTTCGGATAGAAAACAAAAATGAAAAAATAATTGGATTGCGTGAGATAGAGCTCTTCAAGAACTACAACCCATACACTGCGCTTTCCGGAAAACATGTATTCTAAAAATTCCAAAAATCTTTTTCTAAAAAAAGTCCAAAAGTGGCCGCACAACGTCGCGGACAATAATTCTTCAAACGCAAAAATTTTTCTTTAGGTCTTTTTTTGGAGCAAAGACAGAAGTTTTCCTAACAGATAAGCATACTGTATTATAGAGCTAGTCGAGGACAATAATCAGGTAATGGTTATTTTCAAGAAAGGCCAAGCCTGAATTTTATCTTGCATTTTTACAAAAAATAACTTTTAAGTACCTTTTTCAAGCCAGACTTCTTCGCATGGAAAAATATTCAATTTTAACAAAGCTGTTCAGACAAAGTGGATGCTCTTTGCCATCTTCTATGCATCGGACGTATGCTGGTGAGTTTCTTTGTTGATGGCTCTTGACAGTGCGTGCTCATGACCCCATCTGCACCTTACCACCTGCTTTGCAGGCTTATAGCGTCAGCAGTCATTCTACGAATGCAAGTAGGCTCATTCGAAAGAGCATGAATTTCCTGACGCGATGGTATGCAAAAGAGTTGAGTTTGGGAAGTCCCGGAGATTTGACGGCTGGGGTGAAAAAACGCAGCCAGGTGATTAAAGTGAAAGATCTTATCAACATTGGAGCAGTCTTAGGGCTTCGAAATGGATCTATTCAAAAAATTGAGAGTTTCAAACCTCTACTCAGACAATCGCCGGGGGCAGGCGGGCACCGGAAAAATAGATTGCTGATTTCTCGCACCCCGCTCGCGGATTTTTTGGAAAGCAATCAGGACTTTTCGGAAGACCGCTTGCTGAGTTCTCGATTCCTTAGAGATTCAGCAATATATCTGCAAAAGATAAGAGCGAAAAAAAATTCAACAGGCGTTCTCTCAAAAATCCGCTGACTCAGTAAGCTGTCTTCCGAAAAGTCTTGATTGCTTTGCAAAAATTCCGCGAGCGGGGTGCGAGAAATCAGCAATCTATTTTTCCGGTGCCCGCCTGCCTCCAGCGATTGTCTGAGCTAGGATGGAACTGGTAGCGAAGGAGCTCTGTTCAACATTAGCTGAAAAAACCTCATTTTACCATTGAAGCGCTTTTTCACCACATCCGTCAAATCTTCCGGACTCCCCAAACTCAACTCATTTGCATACCATTGCGTCAAGGAAGTCACGCTCTTTCGAATCACCCTACACGGAAGCTCGTAGAGTGACTGCTGACCGAGCTACAAGCCTGCAAAGCGGTGCAAGTCAGTGGTGAGGCGCAGACAGATGGATTCATGAGCACGCACTGTCAAAAGCCATCAGCAAAGAAACTCACCAACACACGTCCGATGCATAGAAAATGGCAAAAAGCATCCATTTTATCCGAACAGCTTTGTTAGGATGTTTGCATAGGTTTCCATGTGCAGAAATTTGGCTTGAAAGAGGTAATTAAAAGTTATTTTTTGTAAAAAAGCAAGATAAAATTCAGGCTTGGGGTTTTTTGGAAGTAACCACTACCTGATTATTGTTCTCGATTAGCTCTATTATACAGCATGCTTATCTGTTAGGAAAACTTCTGTCTTTGCTCCAAAGAAAGGCCTAAAGAAAAATTTTCGCGTTCGATGAATTATTGTCCGCGGCATTGTGACACGGCCATTTTCGGACTTTTTTAGAAAAAGATTTTTAAAATTTTCAGAATACATATTTTCCAAAAAGCGCAATGTGTGAATTGTAGCCAGGGTAAAGCGGGGGGTGCGGCACGCCGCAAGGGGGGGTCGTAAGGGGGGGGGGGGGGGGTAGGTAGGGGGGGGGGGGTCGTATCGACCCAAGGTCAAAAGCGGTTTCTAAGGGGAAATGACTGCAGCTAAGTTCTTAGATGTGCCACGCTCTTTCCCAACTACCTCTGACAACTCAGGTTCAATAATTGAGAGGAATACTAAATGGAGCCTGGAGCGCACTTGTACAAGCTGTGTGACTAAATTGACTTGATGAAAACGCTGTTGAAATCCTGCAAAATTCAAGTTCAACGACACAAACTTGCAGATACCGTATACCTACCGTAACCTACCGTACCTCTAATCAAGCATAATTGTCGTAATCCGCGTGTCGAATAACCCCTATGCGCCAAGTTTCAGCGAACTCTGAGGTCTCCGAGCAGTAAACAACCTTGTATAAAGCAGTAATTTAAAACATGATTAACTTCATCTTAACGGTGAGTAAGCTACATCTTCTTGCACTCAATACAAAGCACTACTCCTTCTTTGTCCACCTCAGGAATCCCGCTTCAGAAGACCTCCAAACTATTGAATTAGAAGCCAACCAAAATCGCTTTTAGGTTTTGATCGCTGTGCTTTCACCAAATATTACTCAGAGCTAAGAAGACGAATTAGGCTCAAAACATCCCTATGGAATCTACGAGGTTTAGGCTATTGATTCATATAGATATTGTCCGCTAAAAATGTTTTTTTGATATAGTTAATGGCCTGCGGCACCCCCCCTCAAAACCTGCGGCTGCCGCAGGTTTTGAGGGGGGGGGGTGCCGCAGGCCATTAACTTACCTTCAAAACGTTCAAACAGCTGCCTTTTTCATGTCAACCTATAGATCCATCCTTCCTCTCTCCTTAGTAGCATTTGCCACCCCCCAAGCGCCCCCTCTTAGTAGAGATACGGTGGGTTTTCTGAACCCTACTCACCGAAGCACCTAGTCCGACAACCGCCGAAAATATTGGTGTACGGTAGGAATCGAAAAATTGCCATCACACCAACGGCGGGAGCCAGGACAGTTTGAAATGCGCATTTCAAAATCCACTCGTCTGCAGCAACTCACCTCACCTCACCTCACCTCACCTCACCTCACCTCATTTTGATTGTTCTTTTGTTTCTTTGGTTTCTTTTGTTCTTCTGTTCTTTTGCAAAGTGCTTTTCAAAATGCATTTTGACGTTTTCGCCGTTCTGAACTCTTCTCAAAGCGTGTATTGAGTGCCTGAACACGTGTGGTGGATGAAGTGCCTTAGGGTTCTTGTCGTGTATCGTTTGTTTACTTGTTTATCCTGGATTCTGCAGCTTCAGAGTCATTTGTTGTAGTTTTATAACGTTCTTCAATGAAAGTTCTGTGAAAATTCTCTTCAAAAAACGCTTCATATTGTCGTTTTAACTTTGCCTTTTCTTGTTGCACTCAAGATAACAATCTTTTCAGTTTTTGCCAATAATCTCTCATTATAGATGTTTACAGGAATTTTTGTTGCCTATATGCTACAAATGCTGGGGAAGAGTACCCAAAGGTGGGCATTTTGAGTGCTCATATGTTTATATAGTTTGTAAACTTATCTGTTGTTTCTGGAAACATTTTTTAGGGCGACATCCCGTCCTACATGGCAGTGCAAGAGGTGGAAGCAGATGGTGATGTGGAAATGAAAGAAGGCGCGCAACCTGATACAAACATCAAAAAGAAGAGAAACGTCTTCATTGGAACTACGAAAATAGTTGTTCCGAGGCCTAAAACGACCATTGAAACATTCATGAAAGATGGGATGAGTGAGTTTGTGTTTATAATAACATATAGGGTTTTGTTATATAGCTTACACTTTTTAGTTGAGGACTGGGAGATGTTCGAAAATCTTCTTGATTATTCTTACAACGAAGTATTGTACAGTGAAGCACAATATCATCCAGCATTATTTACAGAAAGCGCGGTCAGTTTATTGGTCGATGCGTTTGTCGTTCATTCGAACAAATCATACATATCATTACTTTCAGTGGAATGACAAAGCGAAAAGGGAACGTTTGACTGAGCTCGCTTTTGAGAAGTACAATGTTCCGGCCTTTTTCTTGGTGAAAAATGCAGTGCTAACAGCGTGAGTTTTCATTGATTCCGAAACCGTGTATCAATTCGATTTTGCATACATTATTCTCATGCTTGAGGTTTTCTAGTACATTCTTGCCGTTTTCAAAAAATCACGATTTAGTTTGCTAATCGATTTACTGTTTACTACTTGCTTTATATGTATATATGCAAAACACCTCAGAAACTGGCTAGTCATTGGAACTGAAATGGTGGGCTAGTCTTGCAACATTTGGCGTTCATGTCGCTTTGTTAATAATCGCCTGACTGAGTAGAAATTTTCCGCTTGGAGTGGACATCGCCTTGGGTCGTACTAGGTTGAAAACATGTCCGCACTTTGGCGGCGAATCTTTGCACATCAGTATGGTACTAATTGAGACATGTATGCCGTTTGGTAGAGTGAAGTGCCTAATAGCTGGTCCTTATCCTGAACCTGCAAATAATCAGCTTGCATAAAGGCGGCCGACCTGAGTTGGTGCCCACGTACTTGATAGGTGGAAAGGCAAGTCTTGTGCATGAATGCCGTGCGTGACTAAAATCTCAATATTCTCGTATCTCAGGATGAAGTGCTGGAAAATGAAGCGCCAAGGTGGACGAGAAAGAAAAACTTACCAGAAGTGACTGAAAGCTACGATAAGTTCATGAGGAAACAGGTATGACATCATTAGCGCTTCTACCTCTCAAAAATGAATTTTATTACTGACTATATTCGACTAACATGTAACTTCCTTATGTAGATCTTGGAAGATATGGCTGTCTCAATTTTGCAACTTTGCGATACTCCATTGGACGCAGAATACGCAGAAAAGTTGCCTTCGGCTCCATATTCTTTCCCAAATGGATTCACGAAGGTGAGGAATTTTCTATGTTTGGCCGTATCGATTCTGTCAGCTTTTATATCTTTTTTTTAAACTTTGTTTCGTTTTACTGATCTTACATTATGTTCCGATATGGTTGCAGGTTGATTTTTTGAGCTAGGGTTAATCATTTCGCAGACGTATTTAGAGTGTCATACTGCCTGCGCTTCACTTGCTTCTTTATACCGTATCTAAATTCTCACTTCTCTCACTTTATACACCTTCCAGCAACGTCAAAAATGCCACCAAAAATATATTTAACAAAAATTATCAAAAATGCCTTGTTGGGGTAAAAGAAGGAATGTCTGTAGAAGGTTATAACGGTTAAAACGGTGTCATTCTTGAGATTGATTTTGTGCCGAATGCGAATTTCTAGCGGTTCATAATTATACGAACACCTCGCGAAGCTCCTTTCTTCAGACAAAACCGCGATATTTCAAGGTGTTTGTATATTTATAAACCGCTGGAAAGTCACATTCAGCGCAAAATCATTCCTAAGAATGACACCGGTTTCCATTCTTGTCCGCATATACTACTTTCGGCTTTGCTCTTCACGTAGTAGCGATGGTTCTTTGAGTCTCTTGCAAAAAGTCTCGAAACTTAAAATTTGGGTGTTCGTTAAGTATGAACCGCACTTTATCTCAGTCGTATCCTTGTTTTTGTTATTTGGTTCCTCGTATGAAGTCTCATTTTTGGGCCAACCCGAAGTTAGTGTCATCCATTTGTGACCATTGTCTTCGACACTCAATGCTCTTAATCTAACAGTTTTTATTGAAACAAGTTTTTTTTTTCTTGAGGACTGCGGAGTCCTTATTTTTTCTCAATTCTCAGGAGTTCCTTGCCGAACGGATAAAAGTCCCGGAAGTATTGTTCGATCTCAAATACCTTCGCAACATGCCAGCTACGCAATCCACAATGTTAAATGTAACGCAGATCGCAACAACGGCAGCGGGAATGTGTGACATAGATATCCGACCAGTAAGCTTTGTTATTATTGCTTCGTATGGTTCCCTGATTGTCTTCGTTTAGACTTTGTACAGTGGGTTGATGGTGACTGGAGGTAACTCGTTGATTCTTGGTTTTACGGAGAGGCTCAATCATGATCTGGCCCACAAGTGCCCACCGGTACGAGCGTTTGGTCTTTTGACTCAACTGCTCGCGTCTCTCTCCTTGAATAAGTTATACTAATTCTGCATTTTCAAGACGATCAAGCTGAGAGTTTCTGCTGCGCCCACCCCCATGGAGAGGCGGTTTGGAGCTTGGATCGGTGGCTCGATTTTGGGGTCTTTGGTAAGTATAACGACGCAGCATGCAAGGAACGAATTATACGGTTTTAAAACAAATATTACAGGGATCGTTCCAGCAGATGTGGATTGCCAAGTCGGAATATGAGGAAACTGGCCGAACCATCGTCGAAAATCGCTGTCCTTAATGTTCCTTTCTTGTGAATCCGTTTCACTTGGTTGTTTTTCTTTGAATGGTAGAACTACGGATTGCCTTTCAAATTTGGACTACTACCTTCCATGTTATATTTTTGTTTGTGAGAGCTGTTGTGAAAGAGCAGCGCGATTTGCTTGTAAGAATTGATCTCCTTTGAACTTGACTGAATACAGTTAACTCCCCACTTGCATATTTATTATTCGATACTATATTACTATATATATTATACTTAGTCGATTTTTTTCATCGTTTTATTTCTTTTCACTTCATTTTTGAGCGTCAAATCATAAATCTTACGTCCAATGATCTTATACGAACCGTGCGAGAGTATTTTTGAAATTATTTGTGAAATCTAAGTTATATGGTCAACGATATTTGACTAATGTTACTCATGGCTATTCGACTGTTTTCAACGGCTCTTAACGTCTGGACAATTTTTTTTTGGTGTGCCATGTGGTATGTATTCTAGAGCCCCTATCATGGCTCAGGAAAAAAGCGCTGTAGACATGGTGTATTTGCACACCACACATCAGTTTCCAGCGCAAGCAAGTCCGAAAACCAATCCAAACCTGCATTTGTTTTTTTTTGGAAAAATTCATTCACGCGAAGTTACCGATCTAATATGGAAAAGCTTTTGAAATGAATAGTTGTTTACAAATTATTCGTGATAGTCCGCATAGCGCGGTGAGTTTCAATGTCATTAATGTGCGGGAAATAGTAAGGCGTACAGACAGTGGGGCCAGTGCGAGCCTCTGCGAAGCAGAGGTGACGCACTGGTCTGCACATAATCCGAAGCTCAAGAGCTAGCTTGGGAGTTCGGGAGGGAGGAGGGGGGGGGGGGTAGGGAATGGGGGGGGGTCGTGCCGAGGTCCGGCCCAAGGGGGGGGGGGGTCGTATCCGGCGGTCGCGTGCCGCACCCCCCGCTTTACCCTGATTGTAGCTCTTGAAGAGCTCTATCACGTCATGCAAACATGTCATTTTTTCATCTTTGTTTTCCATCCGAAAATGAGCGATGAAAAAAGGAAGGCGGCTTGTCCGCAACATTTTGGCGGTCATTGTATAGAAGGTCCCAAAAAGATGTGCACACTGTTTAATCATTAATAAATCTCTTGCTTTCATGTCTTTTGCCGAGTTTGAAGTATCATTCGGTAGAGCGAGGTTCAACTTAGATTTATAGTATAGAGCGAATCACCAATTGCTCTTCATTACTGTATAATTACGGTATGAGCTTCCAGCACACATCGTCACTGTGGATTAGACCTTTTAATGAAATAATTTCAGAAAATCTGAAAATTAGTGTAACAAGGTTTTCAGGCGTGCTAATTTCACTGCATAACTTTTCACCGCTTTTTTGAGCTTTCTTGGTGGCGTATTCACATTTCTGATAAACATTGGAAGAATAGTTGCTGCCCTAAATCTGAAATAACTCATGAAGAAGCCCTATACTGAAATGTAATTTTCATATATAGAACCAGCGACTTTAGTTGGGCCAGTACAAGAGTTTCTGGTTGGTTTGGTTTTCGTTAAGGCAAAAATCACTTTCGATTGCATAAAATCCTCCTCGAAGTTCCTACCGTAATCCTATAGTAATGAAAGCGACTGATAGATCGCTCCATACTGAAAATCTAAGTTGAACCTCACTCTAAGAAACCTCAAGAACGGCAAAAGACACGAAAGCAAGAGAGTTATTAACTATCAAACAGTGTTCACATCTTTTTGGGACACCCTGTATATGTTTCTGGCGTCATTTAACTAGCAGTTACGTAAGAGTCGCCATTCGAAATTGATTATTCTGTGCTTGTCTTATGCAAGGATTATGCGATTCAGTACGGTAGATGAGGGCGGCATACTGAAAGACTTCATGCAATAAGCAAAACTAGAAAATGAAGCACGTCAGAACTTTGATGCCTTAAGTTCCCTTTTGCGTATACACGACAAGATGCAATGACGCAACATCTTCTTTGATCTTTGAGATGACTACTATCATTCCACATGCACATGTATATCAGATCACATTTTACCTTTGAAAAACTTTCACTAGCACAAAACCAATAATTCCTGCACGAGTAGAATTAGAGATGACAAGAATAATGAGACAGTGAAGCGTCCCTAGCGGAAAATTTACGACAGATCTAATAAAAAAGGAAGGACTTGCGATACTTTTGAAAGGCAGCATTTGCAAACGCATTTGGCAAACTAAACTCACTTGAATGGATGACATATCAACTCGTTTTGATTAAGCACTTTGTTCAACCTCTCAAAATGGATAGTCACATTTGAATGTCACAAAAACAGTCAATGTTGTTGAAAGTGACCAGAAGCACATGATGAACTGAGTAAGTATTATCTACAATTTTGCAGAGTGCAGCGGACAAAGCAAGATGACCTGATGATAGAGACCGCCCGCGCAGCCGACTCTGTAGGTTATGGGGCCTCATGAAACAGTTGATACGTGTTCCCCAATGTCAGTGATTTTACAGAAAAGTATATATCCATACTCAGAGATTATCACAAGTTGTTTGAGCAACTCTGGCATTTCTTACGAGCTCAAAGATTAAACTGAAAGTTTGATGATCCACAAAGGGACTATGGAAGATCGATTAAGTGACGAATAAGAGTATAGAGGCATCGTGCACACAAAATGAGGGTAATGAGATTTTGATGTCATACGATGGAGGTGGCCCTAACTGCGACATCGCTCATCGTTTCGCTGTAAAAGGTGGACTTCAAAGCGAGAAAGGGTGAAGCTACGTTCGCAACTTGTTAACTTCAGACCACCCACGTTGATGATCTAATAGAGCCAACATGGGGATTCTACTACCTTCTGAAAGTTTTTCTCGCTTCGGAATCTATTTTCTGCGGCGAGACTTGGCGGTGTTAGTTACGGCCCCTCCACTCTATGGCATCAAAATCTCAACCCTCACTTCGGGTGGAGGGTGCCTTTAAAGGCAGTGTTTCACTTAAAATAGGTTGTGCGGGTCTCTATATATTCTACCACAGGGCCCACGTAATAAACCATTTCGATAGGTCCAACACGGTTTGACTATTTGCTGAGAAAAATGCGTTCGAAGTGGACCCCAAGCGGTTTGATACGCAGGCCGACTTCTCCGGTTTCGTCCTTACGCGCTCTAACGGGTCCTTCCACCTGACGTCTACCTCCATTCGTTGCTGTCGCTGCGGCAGGACCTAGAGTGTGAAGCAACTAATCCGCGCTTTCTCAGGGCCTTCAAAAACGAGGTTTTCGAGCATGCAAAAAACGAGTTTATGCGATCTAACTCGCTCTACGGGAGGGTAGGAAAGGCTTGTGATAGGCAAAAATCCCAACAACCAAACTTGATAATATAGTTCATTTATGAAATCGTGACGACGGATTTTACTGCGGACATTGTGCCCACAAGAGCATATTACGCTCGCACAAGAAGACATCACCTCAACGTTCAGCTTAGTCAATTCCAATGTCTAGATACTATTATACGTAAGCAACAGTGGCGTACCCAGGATTTCGGCTCGGGAGGGGCGCGACAAAAAATTTTTTCTAAAGAAGGTGCGTGGCGTTAGCCACGCACTCTGAAAAAATTTTTGGGGTGCTTCTCAAAACTTTTGCGGGTCCCCGACCCCTAAAATCTGGAAAAAGGGGGCGTGGCGTCAGCCACGCCCCCGAAAAAAATTTTTTCTACGAGGCTAATTTGATTTTCTAAAATTTCTAAAAATTATTTTAATTATTTACAAAAATAAACAAGTCACTTGCAAATTTTTAAAACCCATGTAAGTAACTTTCAAAAATTTCGCGACCCATTCTCGGGGGGGGGGGGGCGCCCCCCCCCTCGGTACGCCACTGGTAAGCAAAAGACCATTCGAATAGAAATGAAAACCAAAAAAATGCGATTTCTGGAAGTGGCGTGCGTGTCGCGCGCGGTCGAGCCATTGTCACGATTTTTCAAATGCCCTATACACTGCCTTTACACACTTACCTTTCATAGATTGCCTTCCAGTTTGAAATGCAAAAACAAAGCATCCACTCATCTGAGAGTGGATTTTTTGCAACGCTCCCGAACAGTTCGACTATCTCTTCTCGACTGTAATTACTTTCCATGTCCAGAGCTTCAAGAAGCTTCCTGCAAGTGGATTGGTTCAATTGAAGACTGAGAGAAGTGCCTTGGCAGAAACATGTACTGTCGAAAATTGTTCTATAAGACGGCAAGGTACGCTAATTTCACGAGTGCAGGACGCACCTGTTTTCTTAACACGTTGACGACCGCGCCATTTTGGACGAAACTCACACTAACGTCCTTCGCGCATTTGACCCGTGCATCCGCGCGTATGCACGAAAACATTATGTGGGAGTCTTTTTGATACTTATTTAGAAAACATGCAAACTATGTTCAGAGAAACATGTAAATCACATAGTCTTACTAGGACTTACATAAATCAAGGTTTTTGCATGGATTTTCCCTCCCAATAACCGCGCAATCGCTATAATGGAGGAATTTCTTTTCAAAAAAAAACGCTGTAATACCAGGTATTTTTTGCTTGATTCATCCTATTTTGCTTTCAAAACAGCTTTACAGAGTTTTAACCTTCTCGGAAAAACGTAATTAGCATGTGTTTACCTTACCAAAAACCGATTGATTACCCAATTTTGCGGCCCAAACTTCTGAACGACTGCCGCGATGCCCTGTGTTCTGTAACACTATCAGGCTACCAGTAGTATTACTGCATAGAAGTTACCTTGAAACTTTTCGTTTACACCTAGAAAACTAGCGTGCATATGCGCGGATGCACGAAAATGCTAAACGGGAGTTAGGGCGTGCATACGCGCGGATGCATACGGTCGTCAACGTGTTAAATTCGACCAGCCTAACATATCAAAACATTTTGCGACTAGGGGATCCTAGTCGCAAAAAGGGGCTTAAGAAATCGAAAATGTGAGTTTTGTACTCGTGAAATTAGGATGATGCGAAATAGATCAGCGAAGTTGAAATGAATGATCATAGGAAAATTTGATGCAACTCAAGTCCATTGCTGGCAAGGTGATAGTGGATAACAGCATATGTAAACGGCAGATCTGACAGTTCTTTACTCAGATAACAAATGCTAGCTATTTGTACAACATGAACAAAATTCGATGGTCATTCCTGATAAAAGAATGCACCACCATGAAAGATCCCAACACAAAACCCAAACATTTTGACGCTGCCAAAAGACGAATAAGCAACGTACAAGACAATGAGTTGCAGTCGGGCTGCTCGTTGGTCAGCTATTCATCAACTGCAAACTGGTAGGGTGGATCAAGAACAGGGCCCGACACGAGGGTGGCAAATGGATACCTGAAAAACGATTTTGCCTCTGCTGCCATCGAATTCTATGATTTTTCGCTTGAGCGCGCCAGCCGCGTGAGTCTGATTGGAGTATGGGCAGGCCCTTCACTTACATGAGCATTTTATAATCTTTCATACTTTGTTCTGACTTCCTGTTGCGCATATACACACGGATTTGGAGCCAAATCGCTGCCTCTTTGCGAACAAGTCAACTTGTCACTTGCACTAATACAAAAATCTCTTGAAAAACTAACAACCTTCTATCACTTATTTTCTCACATTGTGCTAGGTTCTTCTTAGCCCTTGTCTATTTATACACGAATCGAAATCACTGCATAGGTGCGCGCTGCAAACGAGGCAGATTACTGCTGTTAGTTGGGATTTTCGAATGCGACGTGCAGCAAGCTCTTAATTGCACGTCAGTCGTGTAGCAACTTGCAGATGGGTACGTATGCAAATAGACTTGTGATTACGATATTCTTTGCTTTTCCCAAAACAATTTTCAGCTTGGCATTGGCCCTCGTGCCGGGCCCTAGTCAAGGATATGATAAGGTGGTTCAGTCTACCAAATCCTGGCCACACACCACCACAGTTGACAGGAGAGCAGTGGCAGCGAGCTAAATATCGCTATGAAAGTTCTTAAAGACAGTGTCCGGGCAAAGTCGATTTTGAGATTTTGTGCTTGTCCGGGCCTATTCGCTACGCTAAATTCGAAAATGCACATGGGAGAGCGCGAAAACGGCGAAAAACGGCTGTAACACAGGAGGGAAATCAGCAAGTGGGCAGGGTCCTCCCCACTGTGAATTCACGCTCCCACCTTCCGGAGCCATCTTCTCGCCTCCGGTTTTAAGTCAATCATTCGCACTTGACCGGTAGCGATGTTAGGATGGCTAGCGGAATCGAGAAGACCGCTCCGGAAGCTGGGAGCGTGAATTCACAGTGGGGAGGACCCCGCCCACTTGCTGTGTCCCTCCTGCACTAGAGCTCTTCTTTGCCGTTTTCGCGCTTTCCAATGTGGATTTTCGGATTTAGCACGACGAATAGGCCCGTATAAGCACAAAATTTCAAAATCGAGTTTTTGCGCTGACACTGCCTTTAAGACTTCCCTATCGTGGAGCTCATTGCATCGCAACAGCATGAGCAACATTAACTATCTAGTAGTAACTAAGTAGTTGATGTTGCTATGTGTTGTTAACTAGCTAGTACTAACTAGTACTTGCTATTAGAGGCAGCACTGTCAAATAGTGAGTGTTTTATTTATGTCATTTTTTGTACGCAGTCAATGTGCGTCAAAGCAACTTTGTAAAAAAATTCATCGATAAGAAAAACTTTCATATTTTTACTTCCCTGCTAAGTGCAACAGCTACACCCACTGTAATCGCGACCGAGGAACATCTTGAACAACAGAAGCCAGATTTTAACATATAAAACAAAACAGACAATTAGTTTTGGTGAATAATATGCCCTAGAAGTAATTCAAGCTCGGATACCGACCTTTACACATAAATGAAAATGAACGCCATCCTTAGCGATCCTATGAACGCGGGAAAGACTATTAGTTTGGAACATGCAAAAAACATCGAGAAGATAATTGGCTTTATAGCAACTGTACAAACTTCTTTAATCCATTCTGTCAAAAAAGGATACCTTTTTAGAAGGGTAATATTTTGCACGCAGCCAAGCCCTGTCGCAAGTTTCTCCTTTTCGTCTGCATCATCTTCTAGCTTTAGTAGATCGTCCACCTAAAGACTGCATATTTTGACACATAATCAAGTTTTACTTTAGAGTGACTAGTCATGGAAGTAAGGTGACTAATCCAAAGAGGAGATCATATGATTTGATATTGCAGTTTCATGCATGAACGTATTAGAATGTCCCAAAAGTAAACGGCGTTTCTAAATAAATCAAACCGTTTTTGTTTTCCTGGCAGACTTGCTGTACCATTCGATAGAGCGAAGTAAGCTCTGCGAAATGATCACCAAGGATCCGCCTAAGTCGCATTCCATGTAAAGTTTGAAGCCAAAATCGAAAAAAAATCCTTACCTGAAAATTGGATTTTTGCGAATAATATTAACAATAATCGTACGGAACTCAAACGTGGTCATCACATAATAGACACATAGTAGACTTAAATGTGCCTTTACTGGATTTTTCCGAGCTTAGAAAGCGAAAAAAAAGAGATAGTGAAAGTGGCAAACTCCGCCCCAGCCCCTCCCACATATGTCATTGTATACTACAAGCCTTACTAAGTATAATCTTAAAACTTTACCCCTGTATGTGCTCTTATAATTGAGAAACACCAAATTTTACATGAAAAACCCAAAAAGTGGCATTTTGGCATTTTGGGACCATCTTTGTTTCTCAATTTTAAGCTCCGGAAAAAATCAACCAAAAACATTTTTCGGTATTACTATGTGTTGACTATATAAGGACCAAGTTGAAGTCCGTAGGATTTTTGAAGAAAATCCGATTTTTAGGGTAGCTGGATTTTGATTTTTGGATCCAAATCCCACCTGGATAGCGACTTAGACGGTTGTTTGCTAGTCATTTTGTAGAGCTTGCTTCGCTCTTTCGAATGGTATTCCAAGTCTGCACAAAATCAAATACAATCTGATTTATTTAGAAATACGTTTTACTTTTGAGACAACCTAATAGAATAGTCAAGCTTGTAGTAATGTTGAGAAAGATTCTAATTGCCAGCAGCAACATTACTTGAAACTTAGATAGCTAGCAAGATGGATGGTTGTTCTTGTAACATTTGATGAAACTTTCCATTTTAAAACGTGGTGTCAAAACATTATTGCTTTCTGCAACACCGATCGTAAAAGCGCGGATGACGTGAGAACCTAAATGCAGTTGACGGAACACCTGACTCAAAGTCTTACTCAGACAATGACGCCAACAAGCAAACACCTTCAGTGCGCGAGCAGTCAGAATTCCACAACCCGCCCAAAGCCCGCTCAGAATTTGTAAGGCACTATACAACTTTGACAACGCGCTACGATCGCAATGGGAATCTGCTTTTCCTTTTGCTGTAAACACATATGATTCATCAAAAAAACATAACCAACTACACGAACATAGTGAAAGCAACAAGAAAGCCTGAAACAACAACAAGAAACAAGAATGCGTAACTTGAACAAGGCTTACAACGAAACGACGGGCTTTACCCTCTTTGATCACTTCGGCAGGCTTACTGGTTACTCTCTATCTAAAGGGGAGATCCGCCTCTCTTCGACGGAGTTAGCTCCCGCTAGCGCTTCCTCAGCGCGGACAGAGGCCTCCTCCTGACTCCCATTATTTATACCCTGTCGAAGGGGTCAGCGCGGGCTTTTCTTCCCGCCACTGAAGATCAGTAGGTCGGTGATCCACGCCTTCTGACATCCCTCCCCTCCGGGGAGCCGACGTCCTCGGCGGCTGCTGCAAGTTGCTAAGCTTTTTGCACCGGGGACTCTCCTGCGGATGTCGTTGCCGAGGTAGCGCGCATATCCGTCCCTGAAATGCGTGTCGTATACCTGAAAAGAATTTGGGGTTCATCTGCTTCTTTGGTCACGTTCCCAATTTTCTGTTCTTGGGGGAATCAACGTGAACGACTGATCTGAGTTTGCCCATTTCTTCAGTACTGATTCAATCACCGTCCACACTTTTGACCTCGTTTTCCACATACCAATCTCCTTGAACAATGGTGGCGGCCACATGGCTACAATCTTTCCTCCTTCTTCGAGGTACTTCTTGCATATCCGCAATGTCTCAATGATAGCCTCATCCTCCCTTCTTGGGTTCATGGGCCATAATATGATCCACATACAACAGTTCTTCAAGTATTTCAACGCTTCTTTGAGTTGACTGAATGATACTACCACCCTGGTCAGTACTCTACACTGTTTCAGCCCAACTTCCTCAAATGATGTTGCACATCTCGGTGCAATAAACGCGACAGTACTTTCCTTCTCAGGACTGTGTCCTTCCACACTGCGTGCCATTTTTACTTTGACTCTTTTCTGTGCCTCTCCGCGCATTTTCCGATCACTTCTGGAAGGAGTGTGCTTTTTGCTGCCCTTCCTACATGTGGACTTCTCCCACTTGCGTTCACAAGCTTCCTCTGGCCAGATTCCTTTGTCTGCTTTGACATCTCTTTTTCTCTCAATGAAAGTTTTCTTGTTGACAGTTAGAGATCTGCCCTTCTCTGAGATAGATTTGTTCACAGTTATGGTACCTTGTTGGATCTTCTCTCTTACTGAGGCGGTGTTTCTCTTGTGTAAAGGCATCATTATATCCTTTGCTTTTACTTTGACTTCAGGCTTCTTGTCTATCACTACTTCCACCCCTAAACTCGTCAATGCATTTGTGCCAATGAGTACTTCCTCATTCCTATCGTCGGAAACATGAAAAGCCACTTCCTTCTTGCATCCTCCTTCTAGTTCTACTTCTACTTTTACACCTCCGAGAAAATTCATCACATGGTTGGATGCGTCGTATACGCTTCCTTCCAATGTCGAAAGTCTAAAGTGACGCGACATCTTACCCATTGTTCCTCGCTTCTATAAGCACTTTCACGAATAGTATACTTATCACTAAACCCGTATATAAAAGTGTCGAAACCTTTATTCCCAACATTCTCGCTTAAGTCAATGATTTCCTGCCAACAATTCCATATGCGTCGGTTTGGGAGCTCTTTACGACCATGTTCCGGCCCCTACTTATCATTGATGTCACTCCATTTGAAGACTTGATGGCGCCTTCATTCTCCGTTTCCCTGTACCTGCAATCTCTCATCACATGTCCGAAATAACCACATTTGAAGCATCTTTTGTCTTCCTGATCCTCATCATAGGCACTCGAGCTACTCTTGGCTCATGCCTTCTCATACAATCTTCCCTTTCGCCTCTCTCCGCTAAGCTGCTTCGACTTTGGATTATAGCTGGCACATAGCCTTCATTTCTACTTGCTTTCCTCCAGGACGGAGCTTGCTGTTCACTCCTCCTTTCAAATTTGCGGAATATTCGCAACTGTTCGATCTCAATCGCAATTTCTTTTAACTTATTATACGCCTCGGCTGGGTCCACTTGTAGGATTCCCACCAGCTGCACGTATTCCGGCCATGACGTCAGACTCTCCAGCAGAATCTGTGCGTACTCCATCGATCTTTCCTCAATGGTACATTGAGGATTGGCCTTCCTCGCTAGGTTCTCGAGGGCGACACAGGAGTCCGCGACTTCTTGGTCTGGCTTCAAGCGCATGTTTCTCAAGGCTGTCAACGCCTTCAACCTAGCCGCTGTGAAATCACAGGTCAGTAGTGAGGACATTTCCCTCACTGATCTGTCGAAGCCTTGCTGTCATACTCCCATGGGTATGCTCAGAAATAAGGACTTTGCCCTTCCTTCCAAGTGTTCATCACCCAGGACCTCCATCAGCAACTGTTCATCCTGAGCAATGGTACCATACTTCCGTTTGAACTTTCGAATGAACCTGTCAAAGTCTTCATCATCATAGCCCCTGAAGACTCCAGGATAAGTCACGCTTTGAAAATAGTTCATCAATTGAGCTTCCATCCCTTGAAATTCGGCTGTTAGGTTCTCCAGCCTACCTAACACTGTGACTACCTTAGCCTCCAACTCTTCTTCAAATGGCAATCCATCAACCGGTATCCTACATCGGCTAAGGACCTTGTTTACCATCCCAGGTAGCATTTCCACTTCTTTTCTGATGAGGCTTATCTCCTCCATCATCAAGTGTGCTTTCCTCTCATGGATATCATCTGCACATCTTTGCTTCTGATCCATATCCATAAATGTACTCGGCAGCGAAATGCTTCGCCTTGACTTTACATTCATCGGTAATCAACGCCGCACCCGAAATCGCGCTTCTCAGCTGATCGAAGAGAGTCAATCAAAATCGATACTCGCGCCTCTATCAAGCGTGGATGATTTGATCAATAATCACTTCTCCCTTATATCTTAACTGCCTGCTCTCTATGACATGATAAAGACTTTTTCCAGTTGACCTTAGATCTGGCCTTCTTGGCCTGTTACGTACGTCACCTGCTTGATGACGTATAGATTCCCCACCTTTTTGGTCTTTTGGTTTCGCTTTCTTGGCCTGTTCTACGCGATCTCTGCTGTCTTGCCTCTGAGACGGTCAATAACAGTCGCCCCGTGTTATTTCAATCGATCCAGATCGGCTCGGCCCTTATGTAACCGGGGGTGTCTAGTGGTATAACGGTTTTAACCGGATCGGACAACACGGATTGAACGACTAATAATTTATCTCAGAAAAACGCAACGGACAACAAGAAACAAGAATGCGTAACTTGAACAAGGCTTACAACGAAACGACGGGCTTTACCCTCTTTGATCACTTCGGCAGGCTTACTGGTTACTCTCTATCTAAAGGGGAGATCCGCCTCTCTTCGACGGAGTTAGCTCCCGCTAGCGCTTCCTCAGCGCGGACAGAGGCCTCCCCCTGACTCCCATTATTTATACCCTGCCGAAGGGGTCAGCGCGGGCTTTTCTTCCCGCCATTGAAGATCAGTAGGTCGGTGATCCGCGCCTTCTGACATATCCACTTTCACCGATTTTTTGCAAACTTTGATCTACGACGCTGGAAATTGGCAAAGGGGTGAGTGAACCCTGTATATCGAATCCCGCCTAAGGCGCAGGGTAGGCGCAGGGCGAAAATTATGTCAGGGTTCTCGGGGCGCCTTTGGATCGAACGAAAACGACACATCTGCGACGACATGCCA